CGTATTTTATCCCCATGTCTCCCATCCCTGTACATTGTAAACACTTAGTAATTTTCCATTGCAAGAAACATTAATGCATGGATTAGTGTGGAACCCTATACCCAGGCTTTGCCCTTTGGTCTCTGTAGTGTCCCACAGATGAAACAAGTACTTCGCCTTGGGACATCCTCCTGAGTGCTGCTGGGTGGCAGTGAGCCACCAAAAACAAGAACCTATGGTCTTCGCCACTGGGGACATGTGGAATGACAGATGGAATCTCAGACCCATCTACCTCAACTAGCAATGACAACATTGTTGAAGTCAAAGAAATACTCTACCCTTAGTGGAAACGTAGTATCACTTCTACAAAGCACTACCCTGTCTTTGTGCCGTGCAAGCCTGTGCTGGATGAGAAAGCACAATGAGCAGGATGACTACCAGGGTCTGATTCCCCTCAGAGGGACACCGAGGACAGGGGCAGGACCCAGGAAGGGGCTGGGACACCAGGTTTAGGGGGTCCGTATTCATCAGTTCTGCTAAATCCGTAGGAAAAACAGAACATGCTGACCTACAAACAGAGGAACATAGAACACATGTTGCAAGTGGAAGCTTCTCAGAATTCCTGGAGGGTGTCCAGCCCTGAGGAAATGTTACAGAGGTGGGTGCTGGCAGCAGGGGCAGGGCAGAGGAGGGCTGGGACAGCTGTGCCCTGGGTGGAAACTCTCCAAGTCAGGGAGAAGGTAGAGCCTTGTCCACTCCCCTGCTGCTTCCTCCCCTCCTTACAATGTCATTCACCCACTCCTACCCCTCTCCCCAGTCTTCCTTCCCTCTGGTTTGCACTCAGCACTGGCCTCCAGGACACTCCTCAGAAGCCCCTTGCTGTCACCGCCCCTCCGTACCATGCTTTACAGGGGTCTCTTTCTTGCCCCTCAGGTTCATGCTCTGTTGGCTCACCTCTGCCCTCTGGCTACCAACCTTAGCCTACTGAACAATTACCTGCAGTTCTCTCCCATCTCCTGCTGGAGCTGTCTGGTGGCTTCTACCGTGGACAATCCACACTGCCCTGTGTTAATGTCAGCCTCTAAATTCTGCACCCCTGGCCTGACTGGGAATGCCCTGGTCATCTTTGTAACCACTGCATCTTGCACTCTGCACAGTAGCACACGGATTCACTCCTTTGTTGTTGTCTAGAGGAAAGAACACACACACACACACACACACACACACACACACACACACACACACACAGAATACCAGGCAGACACGCTGATGCAGCAAATACCCCACTGGTTCAGAAGGACACACAGTTCATGTAGCCTCCCTTCCCTCCATCTCCCCTTCCTCCTCACTTCCATACTTCCTGGAGTTTGAACCAAAGCCCTCAAGCACTTTACCCCTGAGCCACATCCCTAGCCGTTTCTGTTGTTTGTTTGTTCTTTTTCCAGGGATTTAGGTATAATTCAGGCTGGCCTTGAACTCATAATATACCCATGACTGGCCTTGAATTCAGATCTTTCTGCCTCAGCCTCCTTAAGCTCTGGAATTAAAGATGGGCACACCACATCCAGCTGCCTGGTTTCCTTTCTTCCAAAACCCCCGGGCTTGATCAGGGCATGGTTCCCTTAGTGTCTTTCTGTCTCCCCAGGCTCCTGAATAAAAACAGCCACTTGAATAAAGAGTGTGGGGAACTCCTGCTACAGAGAGGAACCAGGAAGATGAGCACAGGTAAGGACTCACTGACGTTATTACTGAGGGAAGACATGGGGGGCTTCATGGGCCAAGCTGGTTCTTTGTGCCTGAAGTGTTTCCTTAACTCTTCCATTGCCTCTCACACGCCCTGTGAGAGCAGGGGAAACTGAGGCTGCACATTGCCGAGTGCCTCGTACAAGGTCACATAAGCGTTGTAGAAAACCACACTCTGTGTGAAGGCTGGCAGCCATTGGCACTAAACTTGGTGATCGTCATGGCCAGGGTTGAGAGCTGTGCCCATCGCTACCCACCACACTTGTTGTCAGCGAGGTCACAGAAGCTGCCCTCCCTGGGAGGCAGCTTTGCCACAGATCTCAGGCAGATGCTCTGTGTGAGAACAGATGAGACACTGGAGGCTCAGAGCTGATGTGGAAACCTTTGTTTAGAGAAGGTACCCATGGTGCTCTTAATCTGAGGAGCAGGACAAGGAGTGACTTTGCTGTGTGTGTCTGTGTGAGCACGTGCAATGGGCATGTGCAGGTCAGAGGTCAACATCAGGTGTAGTTCCCCAGCCACACTCCTCACAGCCATTTAGTATCTATTTTTTGAGATGGTCTCTAACTTTCCAGAGAGGCTAAGCTGGTGGCCAGCACACTCCAAAAATCCTCCAAGCCCTCTCTGCCTCTTGAGGGTGACATTGTAGGAATGTCACAACATGCCCAGTTGTTTGAAATGAGAAGTCTTAGGATTGGTTCAAGTCTTGTCACGAGGACTCTACAGAGACATTTGTCCACGCCAGGAGTGAATGTTTCATGATGTGTATTAGACTGGGTATCAGATACTCCCCCAGGGCCCAGTACAGAACATCCAGGCCCTCTGCCACTGACTGCCAGCTGTACTGACATCATTATGTACCTTTATTAACTGTATCATTTCTCCTAGGGAGGCTCCTGATCCTAGCATGCATATCACACCTGCCATGCATGTGACCTACAGTGTTCATCAGTAGCTGCCCACTCTTCTTATGAGTTATCATTGTTGTTTTGATGCAGCTATGGGAGATGAAACTTGGTTCACCTTTTTTAAGATACCCACATGGAGTATATTTGGGAAATATAATTAGCAATAGAGGTGAGGGAGTAGTAGCACACACCTTTAATCCAAGCACTCAGTAGACACAGGCAGAACAATTTTTGTGAGTTCAAGGCCACCCTGGGCTAAAAGAGATTGAATCAGTCAGTCTAAAAGAGAAAAAGAGCTAAAACCTTTGATCCCAGTATTTGGGATCACACACCTTTTAAAAATATTATTTATTGTCCTTTGGGTTTTGCTTGCTTGTATATCTACATGCAAATGTCATTTGCCCCACAACTGAAGCTACAGACTGCTGTGAACTACCATGTGTTATTGGTAATTGAGTCCTGGTCCTTTAGAAGAGCAGCCAGTACTCTTAACCAGTGATTCAACTCTCCAGCCTGGGATCACACACCTTTAATCCTAGCACTAGCAGGTGAGACAGGAGTGATATGGCTGGGAAGAGAAAGGAATACAAAATGGGAGGAGACAGGAGTTCAGGGCATTCAGTCTGAGGATTCATAGGGACAGGATTGCCCCTTTGGTCTAAGGATTTAGTAGAGATAAGACCTAGTTCTTGGCTGCTCTGCACTCTGATCTTTAGGCGAGCTCTATTTCTTACATGACAAACAAAATATCAGCACAGAAGGGCATGGCAGGAAGTGGTTTGTGTTATAGGGCCATAAGTACTGAATCCAAGGGGATCACAGGAATGGAAAGGGGAGAGGCAGGCAAGAAAAAAGACTGGATAATAATGGAATGTGAGGAAGAGCTGAGGATGAGGATGAAGCTGGAAGGAGGGAGGGAGGGTGACTGAGGTCTTGGCCATCAGGACAGACAGCAGCCAGCTGAGGCCATGGCTGTTGAAGGATCTGGTTGGCCCGAGGCAGTTTTGAGGTCAAAGGTACAGGAGATGCCAACCCAGGAGTCAGGCAGCTGGAGACTGGTGCCCAAGTGCAAGTGTCTGTGGCAAAGACACCAGCCTGCCTGGCAGGCACCACGACGATCTGTGCTCCTGCATAACTCAGTAAAGATCCATTTCCACAGGGAATGAAACCATTTCCTCAACTCATAGGTAGCACTGCTTGTACAGCACAGAAAAGCTCTCATGGGGCTGGGGGTGTAGCTCGATTGCTAGCCTGTGTGCCTGGCATGCATTAACCCTGGGTTTGATCCCCTGCTTTGCATAAACCAAGCAAGCCTGGGACCCCAGTATTGTGGAGGAAGAGGCAGAAGGCTCACAGTCATTCCCAGCTACATAGCAAGTTCCAACCCTGTCTCAAAGAACAAACAGAACAGAAAATTGTCATTGTCCCAGCTCCTAACTTCCCCAGGCTCAACTCACTCAGAAAAGTCCAGGCTCAAGTGCTGTGACTCCCTACTTCCCAGTCTCAACCTTCTCTACATAGTGCTCTGCCCAGCCGCCCTTACTCCTGCAGCCTGTGGTCCTCTATCCACAGGGTCTGTCCTGTCACCCCTTTGGGGAACTCCACACAATGATTTCCGTCAGTGTCTGGGTCTGTGGCTCACTGGTTAGGACAGTGAGCCCCTCTGTGCCTGGGATCACCTCCTGTTCCCTCCAGAGGTTGGCCTGAAAATTTTCAAGGGAGCACGAGGTGCGGATTTCTTCTTTACTGTAAAATGTGATGCTTGCATTTGCTCATTTGGGAGTGTTTTGTGGTTTGGGTTCCTAGGGTTTTCTTTCAGGGTGGATATGTCAGGGTTGAATCTTTCCTTACCTGGGAGTAAATTCCAAAGAGCCCACAATTACAATACATTCATTAATTCATTCAATACACTGTCAGGTGAAATTGAGGGGCTGCAGACACAGCAGACATGGATCACATAAAACACCATGGAAACACAGTCACTACACTTCTGGAAGGCAGAGGGGGATCCTCATGGCTCATTGATCTTCACGGGGCCACTTGGGACTGTTTTAACACCTGGTACTGTGTGGACCTGCCCAGGGAGATGTCCTGCCACCTAAGTGTCCTTCAGAGCCCTGTCTACTCTATCTAGCACAGCTCTGTCACAACACCCACCTTAGCAGGTCAGCCTGAGCCAGGAGCTGGGCTGTGCCAGAGTCCTTGGGAATCTCCTTGGCCAGAGACCTCAGGAAGGTGGGGCCTGGGTGGAGTAGGGCCAACCTGAAGGGCTGGCACAAATAGGTGGTGATGTGGGGGTGGAAATGGGACTACAAAGGAGTCACCTGCAGGGCTGGCCAAACCTGGAAGAAAAGTCAATGAGAAAGGATCCAGCCTCAAGTCCTTCCTGCGACCATCTGGACGTGGAGTGACAGCCACAGGGACACAGCAATGGGTGAAAATGCCCCTCAGGGCCTCCTAGATTGGAGTTGGAAGGGGGAGGCCCAGCGAGATCCCCCAAGCACCCACTCACTTTCTCTAGCCGGTGGAGCTGACACTCACCGCCCTCCCCACTGCCTGACCAGGGCCGGTCATCAGTGCCTGGATTCAGGAGAGCCAGTCCGTGGGATCCAAATGAGCCACAAGGCTGCTGTGTTCAGATAGCCCTTAGATGGGAGAAGGGAGCATATCACTATTGGGGGTAGCACTTTGGAGCCAGCAGAATGAAAAGGTCAGCTCTGGGACACACCTGACTTGAGTAGGCCAAGCTAGAGTCTGGGAATCACGCTGTCTAACTTAAATCATCTCTGAAAGAATTTGGTCATCTTCTGTATCTCCTTGTTTCTCAGGCAGGATGTGGGCAGTTAGTTTGTATGAAGACAGAGATAAAAAAAAAAAAAAAAAAAAAAAAAAAAAAAAAAAGCATTGGTCCCATTCATTGTATGGGGTTCATTAATACTTGAAGTTTCTCAGACACCAATGGTTGTTCTTAAAAGGATACCATAGTAAAGAGGTACTGTAAAATATTACTCCAGGTTAACAGAAAAGGATTGAGGATGGAGAGGTTTGAGGCAACCAGTCCAAGATCATACAGCCCCAAGTGGCAGGGTTCAACCAACTCCTTCCTGTTCTGGTCCAACACCAATTGGTACATCCAAAAACCCTACTCAGCTATATCTGTCACACAAGGGACCCGGTTGTCTTTCCTTCCACAGGGCATCTGGCAGTCTGTCTGTCTGTCCAGAGCCAGGACATAGGCTGGTAGCACGAACGCCCATGCATGCTGGAGCATACACAGATGAGGGTCTGAGGAAGTCCTCGGTTCATGGATGCAGGGGCAAATGTCTGCTTCTACCTTACAGGTCTGTTCTCAGAGTTGAGGCTGGCTGTGCCTTGGGGCCACATTGCTGTCAAAGTCTGGGGCTCCCAGAAGAACCCTCCAGTCCTCTGCCTGCATGGCTGGCTGGACAATGCCAACTCCTTTGACAGACTCATTCCTCTTCTTCCACAAGGTGGGGCTATGGGCTGAGGGACTGTGGAGGGGTGGAAGCTGCCATTCAGCCCCTGCCTCTCCCTCCTCTCTCTGCTGCAGACTTTCATTATGTGGCCATGGATTTCGGAGGTCACGGGCTCTCCTCCCATTACAGCCCAGGGCTCCCGTATTACCACCTACATTTTGTGAGTGAGGTCCGAAGGGTAGCAGCAGGTGAGCGAGAGACAGAGTGGGAGTCATGCAGGAGTTAGTGTGTGTGTGTGTGTGTGTGTGTGTGTGTGTGTGTGTGTGTGTGTGACTCTGCCACAACCCTCTCATCCTAGGAGGTAAGATGCAGTGTCTGGGAGACAGGAGTGCTGGGCAGTGGATACCTGGGGTCTGGCTCCAGTTCTCCCAGCAACTGAGAAGAGCTTGCTTCCTCCACTAGGAGCTTCCCACAGTGGAGCTGAGCCCCTCAGCTGGTCTCCTGGGTGGGGTGCTGCAGGTACTTGGAGGGAGTCCAAGCCAGGAACAGGAAAAAGTTTAGAGTAAGGCTGGACTGTGCAAACTTTCTCTTTGAATTTGTGTTTTCCAGCATTTAAATGGAATCGGTTTTCCTTCATGGGCCACAGTTTTGGTGAGTCAGCTTTACACTGGCCCTGGGTTCTCTGGAGGGCTATAGGAGAGAGAGAAAATTTGACACAGTGGTACCTGGTACCTTTCCCTGCCCTTCTAAGGAGGAAGGGAGTCCTCAAGCGCTTACCTTAGGGACTGGGCCTCTGGTCTCAGAGGAGTGTGCAGGGTGGCCTTACAAGGTTTTCAGGTGGAGGGACCTTTGTGGCCCAGGTAGAGGCTCCTAGTTGAATATGCTGAGTCCCAACCCCATGGTGGGAGAGGCGCTGGGGTAGGACAGAGCACAGGAAAGAGCTGGGGGAGGATTTGGAGCTGGAGAGGGGACACACAGACTTCAGTACTGTTCTCTTGCCTGGCAGGTGGCACTGTGGCCGGCATGGTGAGTACCTGGCTCTTCTGGGGTCACCTGGGACCTTTCAGGGGGCATGGGGAGGAGACCAGCAGGAGGTAAGATAGGAAGAACCCCTTCATGCAGTGGATGCAGTAGCCAGCACCCCTTAGTCAGAGGCAACTTCACGTGTCCACTGTGTCCTGGGCATGGCTCCCTATGGAGTTTCTGCGTGTCTCATCCAAGCTGGCTGCGGTCTGCAGCTAGGTCAGGGAGAAGCGCACCTGGGAGCAGCAGGCTCCAGCTCTGCTGAGGCCTCTGCCTTCACACACTCACTTGTGGCTCTCTTGTCACTTTCTAGTTTGCCTGCATCTTCCCCGAGATGGTGGACAAACTGATCTTGCTGGAATCAACGCCACTTGTCCTGGACTGTAATGTAGGGAGAGGCTTCCTGGAGACTGTCATGGGGTCCCCAGACTTTGGGGGGGTTGCCTTCAGCTCTGTCTCCTGTGGACATTAAGGAAGCATGAGAGTGTGGCAGAAGGGGACAATTAGAGGGCAGCATTCTGAAGCTTGTGACCCTGAGATTGTCAGGGGCAGGGCATGGGAACTCTTGGAAGCCCTGCTCTGTGGCCTGCATTCTGGAGAATGCGGGTGGATCCAGCATAGACTGTGAAACTCAGAATGAGGATGAAGGGGCAGCCATGGGTAGAGGAAGTTCTGGGCCACAGGAAGCTCCCTGCCCTAACATCTAATCCATTCCTTTGTGCTGTGCACACGGAACCCACTGTGAGTGTGGCTGATAGAAAAATACCACCACCAGCATTCACAACAGCCAGTACTGACTCTGTATGTGAGACTAGGCTCTGTCCTTTACCTACTGTGTGACCCTAAGGGAGTTAGTTTCCTCCAGAGGACTTCACTGTCCATTTACATCTTCTCGTTTACAGTGTGGCCACACCTTCCTGAAGGACAAGAACTCTATCTGTCTTTTTTGAGACAGGAGCTCATTCTGTAAACAAGTCTAGCCATGAAGTCCTGGCAATCCTCCTGCCCCAACCACTTAACCTCTTAACTAGAATTTATTTTTTGTTTGTTTTTTGAGACAGATTTTTCTGTGTGGCCTTTGCTCTCTTGGAACTAGTTCTGTAGAACAGAGTGGCCTCAATCTCATAGATATGCTCCTGCAGCTGCCTCCCAAGTGCTGGGTTTAAAAGTGTGCTACCGTTACCTGGCTGGAAATAGTTTTTACCCCCATGTCTCCAGTCCCTGTACATTGGAAGCACTCAGTAATTTTCCATTGCAAGAACCATTAGCTCATAGGTTAGTGTGGAACCCAGTAACCAGGCTTTGCCCTTTTGTCTCTGTAGTTTCCCACTGATGAAACAAGTATAGATCTTAGGGACATTATCCTGGGTGGTGCTGGGCGGCAGTGAGCCCGCAAGGGCCTGAACCTGTGGTCTTCTGGCATGGGGACATGGTATATCGCAGATGAATCTCAGGCCCATCTACTTTGCCTAGCAATGACAACATTGATTGAAGTCAGTGAAAAAGTCTGCCCTGAGTGGAAACGTAGTATCACTTCAACAAAGCACTGCCCTGTCTTTGTGCCATGCAAGCCTGTGCTGGATGAGAAAGCACCATGAGCAGGATGACTACCAGGGTCTGATTCCCCTCAGAGGGACACCGAGGACAGGGGGCAGGACACAGGAAGGGGCTGGGACCCCTGGTTTAGGGGGTCCGTATTCATCAGTTCTGCTAAATCCATAGGAACCAGAGAATATCCTGACCTACAAACAGAGGAACATAGAACACATGTTGCAAGTGGAAGCTTCCCAGAATTCCTTGAGGGTGTCCAACATGGAAGACTTGTTACAGAGGTGGGTGCTGGCAGCAGGGGCAGGGCAGAGGAGGGCTGGGACAGCTGTGCCCTGGGTGGAAACTCTCCAAGTCAGGGAGAAGGTAGAGCCTTGTCCACTCCCCATGCTGCTTCCTCCCCTCCTTACAATGTCATTCACCCACTCCTACCCCTCTCCCCAGTCTTCCTTCCCTCTGGTTTGCACTCAGCACCGGCCTCCAGGACACTCCTCAGAAGCCCCTTGCTGTCACCGCCCCTCCGTACCATGCTTTACAGGGGTCTCTTTCTTGCCCCTCAGGTTCATGCTCTGTTGGCTCACCTCTGCCCTCTGGCTACCAACCTTAGCCTACTGAACAATTACCTGCAGTTCTCTCCCATCTCCTGCTGGAGCTGTCTGGTGGCTTCTACCGTGGACAATCCACACTGCCCTGTGTTAATGTCAGCCTCTAAATTCTGCACCCCTGGCCTGACTGGGAATGCCCTGGTCATCTTTGTAACCACTGCATCTGGCACTCTGCACAGTAGCACAGGGATTCACTCCTTTGTTCTTGTCTAGAGGAAAGAACACACACACACACACACACACACACACACACACAGAATACCAGGCAGACACGCTGATGCAGCAAATACCCCACTGGTTCAGAAGGACACACAGTTCATGTAGCCTCCCTTCCCTCCATCTCCCCTTCCTCCTCACTTCCATACTTCCTGGAGTTTGAACCAAAGCCCGCAAGCACTTTACCCCTGAGCCACATCCCTAGCCGTTTCTGTTGTTTGTTTGTTCTTTTTCCAGGGATTTAGGTATAATTCAGGCTGGCCTTGAACTCATAATATACCCATGACTGGCCTTGAATTCAGATCTTTCTGCCTCAGCCTCCTTAAGCTCTGGAATTAAAGATGGGCACACCACATCCAGCTGCCTGGTTTCCTTTCTTCCAAAACCCCCGGGCTTGATCAAGGCATGGTTCCCTTAGTGTCTTTCTGTCTCCCCAGGCTCCTGAATAAAAATAGCCACTTGAATAAAGAGTGTGGGGAACTCCTGCTACAGAGAGGAACCAGGAAGATGGGCACAGGTAAGGACTCACTGACTTTATTACTGAGGGAAGACATGGGGGGCTTCATGGGCCAAGCTGGTTCTTTGTGCCTGAAGTGTTTCCTTGACTCTTCCATTGCCTCTCACACGCCCTGTGAGAGCAGGGGAAACTGAGGCTGCACATTGCCGAGTGCCTCGTACAAGGTCACATAAGCGTTGTAGAAAACCACACTCTGTGTGAAGGCTGGCAGCCATTGGCACTAAACTTGGTGGCCGTCATGGCGGTGCCCTGCTGGGCCTTTGGGAGTAGGTGCCGTGGCCCTGGCAGCCTCTCAGGTGATAGTCTCTTCTGCATTACTTCTCCCATGTTTTGTCAAGAAACCCTCACCAAGCTGGGAGTTGCATTCCCCATGAAGGCCAGTGTCCAGTGTCCAGTGAGCCAGTGTCCCCGTCTCAATGGAGCTGCCATCTGTAGAGGTGGCACAGCTCCCGAGGGCAGCACTTACAAATGCCTCTGTGGAGCAGACACCTCCTGGGCCTGGGCACGGAGGAGCCTTCAGAAAAAGTAAACTTAGGAGGAAAACAGGGGATAACAAAGCATTAGGCACATGTCTGTTGCTGAAGCAGAGAGGATGTAAGGGTTTGTTTTGGCTCTCAGTCACAGGGAACTGTCCACCTGGAAGGGATGGGTATGGCGGCAGGAGCAGGGGGCAGCTGGTCATATTGTGAGCACAGCAAGGAAGCAGGGAGAGATTAGTGCTGATTCCCAGTTCACAGTTGTTCAGTCACTGAACCCAGGCCACAGGGTAGAATTACCCAGAGTCAGGGTGGACCTCCCCACCTCAGTCTCATCTAGAAACTCCTCAGAGACAAGCCAGAGGTTTGTTTCCATGGAGATTGCAAAGCCTGTCAAGTTCACATTAACCAAACTCAGAAGTAAACCATGAGTGAGTGAGGAAAGCCCTGGAGCAGGGGCTTGGAGACTCTCTCAGGTGAGGTAAAAGCTTGTGTGGGGTGGTGTGATGAGACACATAGGGCCCCAGATTGGCACAAAAACCAGGATTCAGTTCCTGTTGGTGCTCTCTTAGTCACAATGGGACTCCCCGCAGTGTGTTAGGAAACAGACAAGTTCAATAGGATGTTGCTCTCACAGCCTGTCCAGCTCAATTGGGCTTGTGAAAATTAATTTCCGCAGAACCAAAAGAAGTATGTATCCCTTAACCTACCTGGGGCAAGTTGTGGAACCCTGTTGGCCAAGAGGAGGGCAGTAGGGAGTGCTGAGCACTTTAGCCAAGATACCCCCTGGCAGAGACAGGTTGTCATGTGGCAAACCGGTCCTGTGTTGCTAGAATTCCAAATGCTGAAAGAGGCCATCTGGCCTACACATTGCCCCTGTAGGTTAGGATATAAGAGCACAGTGTGGCCCACAGGGAGCAGGCCTGGAGAGTTCAGGTGCAGACTGCCTTTCAGATCTATCAGAGTTTACCCTGATCCTGTCCCTTCCCTACACACTTATGAAGGTGAGGGTCTAGGCTCTTGTGCCCCACAAAGATGGCTTGTACAGAAATGGCATTATCCCATGCAGACCAGGGAATCTGACAGTCCTGAGTTGCCTGAAATGTGGGCACAGATGCTGAGTGGTCACTAAGGAGACAGTGGCCATTGCTGAGAAGGTGATCCTCTGTGCTGGGGAGCAGGCAAGGGGTGGGAGCACTGTTGTGGGAGCACCCCTCTGTAGCATAATTAGCTTAGGAGAAGGTAGATTCAGATCCTGCTGGCTCTCTGGATACAGTGTTTGGAATGCATTGTTTTGGGCCTCTAGCTCCTGCTCTCTGTCTCCTTACCCCTCCCTCTCTCCATTCTCCTCCATTCTCACACAGATAAACAAGGACAAGGGCCTTCTGGAACTTCTGAATCCAGGAGGCAGGTTTAACTAGTCTGACAGGAGCGATCTCTGTGGGGAACTGTATTCAGGCTGTATATACCAGGGGCAAAGTGGGAGTTATGGTGAGCAGTTCCTGCACATACTGTCAATATCCACAGTGAGACCAGAGCAAGGCTGTGCCATTTCCCTTGAGTCTTAGGGGAACTTGGTGCGGACACTGTGCCTTTCCTCCATGGGTCTGAGGCTCTGGCTCCTTGAAAAATGGTCATGCCCCTGTCAACAGCACACATTTACTCAGGACCTCATCCACTCAGGCTTCCCTCTGCTCCCTACATGTGTGTGTGCATGCTTGGACACGTGAGCAAGCCATGAACCAATGTGGAGCTCAGAAGATAATCTATAGGGTTCAGTTCTCTGACCTCAACTCCACTTGTAGGCAGGTCTCTCCCAACCCTGAGTCTTGTAACCCTTCCATTTTACCTTGTTGGAGCAGGTCCCCACAGTTGGCTTTTCCATTCCCTGACAGCTCGTGGAAACTTCCAAGGCTTGTGAGTTCCTACATGACAGCTGAGGCTGCTCTGCCCACCACACACACTCCTGAACACAGTTCTCTGGAAATCATGGATGTGGCAGAGGGTAGGGCATGGCTAAACCTTTCTAGTTGGGTAGAGTTATCCATCAAACATGGTAGGGACCAAGTCTGACAAGGATACCAGGGGTCTCCATTACTCCCTGTTTTCTAGTGTTTAAACAACCAAATGAACAGTCTCTTTCTCTGAGATGAGAGTTGGAGACTAGAGTGCAGCCAGTGTCTTTAATCTTGGAGGCAGAGACAGGCAGATCTCTGTGAGTTGAGGCAAGCCTGGTGTACAGAGTGAGTTCCGGGCCATCAAGGGGCACATAGTGAGATGCTGTCTACAAACAACAGAAAGAGAGGGAAGGATGAGAGAACCTGATTGTCTCCATCATCATCCTTCGCTGTCCCTTGGGGTCTGAGCAGATGCCCATGTGCTGTGGTCAGATAGCCTTGACCATGCTATGCTGTGCTCTAGAAGAATCCCAGGACAGAAGGACAGGGCTGCCTGATGACAGGGTGGCTTTTGCCAGCCCAGATGGGAGCACTGTGTGAAAAGACTGGGACTTCCCTGGGAAGCCAGGTGAGTCCCTTCCTGTAACAGTTGTCACTGAAGCCACCATGCTTTGTGCTTTCCCCAGGTGTGGTGCTGAACAGGGACCGGAGGCTGGCTATGGTAAGTGCCACTGTCTTCCAGCTTCCTTCAGGATACATAGCAGAGATACAGAAGAGAGAGCCCCCATTGTAGATGCCGGGGTAGTATTAAATATATTGTTTTGTGGAACTGTCCCCAACACCTATAACCCAGCCTCTGTCACCCTCAGTAAACACTGAACCCATTAAAACACTAAGTCCTGCCCAGTCTCTCCAGCAACTCCTAATTTACTTTTCTATAACTGTGAAATCCACTGTTTGATTCTACTCTCATGAGGTACCTATGCTTATCCTTCTGTGCCTGGCTTCTTCTCCCTAGCATCATGCTTTCCAGATCCTTCCATGTGAAACACACATGCACTTTCACACCCGTGTGACACTAAAGACTAGCTGTTCCAACCTGGGGACTGTAATCCCCTGATGCTGAGAAAGAAGCAAGGAAGTCTCTGGGAGGATTTTTTTTTTAAAACATCTATTTGACATCTATTTATCATTTATTTAATATTATTTGTCTGTGTGTGTGAGTGTATGAGCAAGGGCCAGGTATGTCACTGTAGAAGTCAGGACAACTCTTGGGAGTGTGTCCTCCCTTCATATGAGTGTCATGGCTCACACTCAGTCAGCTTGGAGCATGCGTTTATCCACTGAGCCATCTTTCTGGCCCCACACCACCTTTTCCATGTCTAGCCCTCTGACGATAGACATTGGGGTTTCGTTTTGGCAATTGAAAACAAAGTTACTGTAGTATAAGTTAGAAGTGTCTGAGTCCTTGTTTCCTGAACTTGGATATGCTGGAAAAGAATTGCTGGGGCCCAGGGTAACTTGTGACTGATCTTTTAGAAGTTGCTAAACTGTTGTCTCCAGAGGCTGCACTGCTTTATCTTCCCACCAATGATGCACAAGTGTTCTATGTCTTCCCCAATCTGTCTGTCAAGTACAGGGAAGACAGGTGTACAGAATAGACCTTGTACACACGAGGCATGTGTTATACCAATGAGCTACATCCACAGATCCCTTTCTCCCATTTATGTCTGTCATCCATTTGTGCATGCATTCACACAGTTGCAGTGAAGGAAGCTGGTACTGGAGCAACAGGGTTAGAGAACATAGCCAGTCTCCCCTTGAAGAGGACTCCAGTGGGATCAGGATCAGCAGAGCACATTGACCTGGGTCCAGTTCTCACATCCTGTGTCCTATGCAAAATGCCTCAGAGCTCTGAGTTCCTTGGACTTTCCTCTTGGCTTAATCTTATTACAAAAAAAAAAAAAAAAAACCAGCTATATGGTTAGGAAATAAAATTGGCAGAAGTTAAATTTAAAAACAAAGAAAAAAGGAAAGAAAGGAAAGAAGGAGAAAACCGTGCCATGGTTTCACGCACCTATACTCCCAGCGCTTAGGAGGAGGAGTCAGGTGGATTTCTGTGAGTTTCAGGCCAGCCTGGCCTCCAAAGTGAGTTCCAGCACAGACAGGATTCTTACACAAAGAACCCCTGTTTTGAAAAACCACAAAATCAATAAACAAACAAATAATTAAAACCAGAAGTTAGGACACATTTAGCGGGACAGGCAGCTGACTAAAGGGGACAGGCAGGGGGCCTCACCGTGGTCAGCACACAGAAGACATAAGCTGCCATAGACACTCAGAAAAGCTTCAGGTCTCCAAGCATGGGCAAACACAGCATCCCCTACTCCTTGCCTGGCACAACTTTAAGTTAAGGTTCAGGCCTCATTGTAGCCTTGAGCCAGACAGTTCCAGTTCATGAGGAAAAGGAGGGAGATTAGAGGCCAAGGCCCGAGTCCCCTCCCTGACTGAGCGTGATGCCACCTCCTGTTAGCTGCTGGCTGTGGCCAGGGTTGAGAGCTGTGCCCATCGCTGCCCACCACACTTGTTGTCAGTGAGGTCACAGAAGCTGCCCTCCCTGGGAGGCAGCTTTGCCACAGATCTCAGGCAGATGCTCTGTGTGAGAATAGATGAGACACTGGAGGCTCAGAGCTGATGTGGAAACCTTTGTTTAGAGAAGGTACCCATGGTGCTCTTAATCTGAGGAGCAGGACAAGGAGTGACTTTGCTGTGTGTGTCTGTGTGAGCACGTGCAATGGGCATGTGCAGGTCAGAGGTCAACGTCAGGTGTAGTTCCCAGCCACACTCCTCACAGCCATTTAGTATCTATTTTTTGAGATGGTCTCTAACTTTCCAGAGAGGCTAAGCTGGTGGCCAGCACACTCCAAAGATCCTCCAAGCCCCCTCTGCCTCTTGAGGGTGACATTGTAGGAATGTCACAACATGCCCAGTTGTTTGAAATGAGAAGTCTTAGGATTGGTTCAAGTCTTGTCACGAGGACTCTACAGAGACATTTGTCCACGCCAGGAGTGAATGTTTCATGATGTGTATTAGACTGGGTATCAGATACTCCCCAGGGCCCAGTGCAGAACATCCAGGCCCTCTGCCACTGACCGCCAGCTGTACTGACATCATTATGTACCTTTATTAACTGTATCATTTCTCCTAGGGAGGCTGCAGTGTCCATCAGTAGCTGCCCAGGGCTGCAACCTCCGTTTTGGGCACTGCAGCATAGCCATGCTAAACAGCAAGGACAGCAGGGAGGGCTGGGTGGAGGCACAGTATGGAGGACTCACTCAGGTGCACATGGGACTTGGTAGCAAGGATTTCCCCTGGTTTTGTTTCTGCAGCCAGAACACAGCTTGGACTTCGTGAACAAGGAGATGCTTGTGCACTTTATCAGACACCTGCGGGCCAATGTGCTGATGATCATGTGAGTCTAGAACAATCACCCTTAATGACCCAGAGACCAGGAACAGTCGAGGGAATGTGGCACAAGGTGTCAGATCTCCCAGGGTGACACCACACCATAGTCCACTCAACCTTTCTCAGGAAGAATCTATGTCAACCGGAGCTGGGAGGAGGAAAGCAAAGCAAGGGGAAGCCTGGGGACAGGGGAAAGGCATGAGGATTGCAGGGCAACAGGGGGCAGGGGTGAGGACTGCAGGGAAGAAGGGTGAAGGAGTGAGGATTGTTGCACAGATCATCAGATCTTTCGGGAAAGTGCTTATGATTCCAGTTTCTCATGCTGATGAAGCAGAATGCACATCACAGAAAGGGCACAGGCAATCTTGGGAGCTTGTTAAGTCCCACTCTATTAAGGAAGATTGTCCTGTTTGAGGACACAGCATCAAGAAGGATGCAATTGGAGAGATGCAGGAGGGTTCATGCCCCAACCAGATCAGCCAAATTATGCCTGAAGACCAATGGGGTGACAGACATCACATGATTGTGTTCACATTGGGAAATGTGAAGTTTTCCTCACCTAGCAACACACAGTTAGAGTCTATCCTTATCCTTCCCTTGATGCTTGGTGGTGGGACAACAGCAGGAAAATAGGAGGAAATTTGAGACTCTACTATTGGCTGGTACTAGAAAGTTTCAAAGTTTAACTAATACCTTTTTTAAGTAAAATTTTTAACCTGTTGTGGAGTTGAGCATGTTAAAACTGTTAGAAGTTTTGGCAAATGGGAACTAAAAGGAGCTGGCTGGGCATGGTGTCTCACACCGGCAATTCAGAACTAGGGAGAGCATGGCAAGGCTGTGACAAGTTTGAGGCCAACCCAGGCTACACTGTGCTTCAAACAGGGGGGAGGGTTGTGATATGTACATTACTCCTCCAGAGGTTGTATTTTAAAGAAAAGCCTGGCCTTGAGAGCCAGTTCAGCTCTGAGCTCAGCTTGTGGGCCCCCACTTTGCACAGTACTGGAAGCTACTTCCCAGCAGGAACTCTGATTGTGCTCCCCTGGTACCAGCACTAAGAAGAAGCTGGCACTAAATGACTGAACTTCAGCGTCAATCTAGGCTCACAAAAGGGAGGCAGCCCAGGCTTGGGCTCTGTTGAGATTCAGCAATGAGAGACACCCCAACTTCTTGCTTCCAGCGCAACACAGGGGTACTATGATCTGAGAGAAGCCAACGATGAGATGAAGCCCCTGCTCATCATGGTGGACACACTAAGAACCATCCTAAAAGAGGTAAGGTGTGTGCCATGGGAAGATGACAGGATGGGCATGTCTTCTCCTTTGAACCCTATGTCATCGGAATTGGATTTTCATTCCCAAGTTAGAACCAAACCACTCCATAACCACTACCCACACCTGGGACACACAGAGTTCATGAACCTAACCCCTGGCCAGGCCTTCTGTGGGGCCCACCTCTTACAGGCAGCCCTGCACTTGCCTTCACTCATCCTGGAACCAGCACATTAGCAAGTGTGATGGCCATGGGGAAGGGGAGGCCAGTCCTGGAATTAGAGGTGTGTGTAGTCATCATCCACTTAAATCACCTGGGCCTGTGTCCTTTGCACACAGCCCGGGCATGCTACCAGGAAGGGGGTCACCTATTCAGGGCCTTCTGCAGTGGGAGCTGTCCTGAACCCTGGCTTTCATGGCGATGACAATGCTTCATCTCCATCAAAACTGCCAGAGACCCTGACTGTGACTCCTCTGTTCAGCACTGTAGTCACAGCTCAGATGCCTACATTCCTGGAAGGGCCTCCATATCCCCAGGCTGCTGGGAACAGAGGTTGTCCCTGACCCACTTGGAGGCAGTCATCTTTGGGAGAGTGTGCTGAGTGGGCAGCATCTCACCTCCTGCCCCTTTCAACAGCGGTTCCAGTATGTGGAAGTCCCAGGCAATCACTACATCCACATGAACGATCACCACCTTGTGGCTGGACTTGTCAGCTCCTTCCTCCAGAGCCAACCCAGGACAGCTTTGATGCTGTAGCTCTGTCTTTGGAGCTTGGTCACACTTTCTCTCCAGCCCCCTCAGCCCACACAAAGGTGGGTGGGTCTCACTGGGCTTGAAGACCAAGAGAGGCAGCAGAGAATCCTGTGTCAGAGCTTGGGGCAGGGGTAAATGTTTCTGATCTTTAATATCTGACTTCAAGAAGGGGACAGGTGAGCTGGTGACAATCACGGCCAGGACTGGGGAGGGGTCCCTGGAGCTGGTCCTGGTACCACTCAGTGTGGCAATAAAATCCTCTCCCATCTTCACTGCATTCCAAATGGCTCTGTTTCGGGGAGGGGCTTTATAGAGGGCAAAGTGTGGGAGCAGATGCTCAGTCAGCTTTCCCAGGTGTGTCTTTACAGGCTGGAGGAGGAAGGGCCAGCTCTCTGAAGGCCAAGTCCTGCTATGGCCTGCATCTCAGCCTGTGGGTACAGGGACAGAGCTGGGGACACAGAGGCAGTTCCTTGGCCTGTGATCTGCTTCCCAAAGCACAGTCCCTAGGGAGAAGTCCTGCTGGTAGTTGTGTTCTCAAAGCCTGCTCTCCAGAGACAAAACAGCTCAGTAGGGCCGGAATTTGCGTTGGGCACGCATTGGTTCAATCCTCTGCTTGTCCTCCTCAAACTTATTGTGCAGCTGTGCTAGATCTGGGGGTTGAAGGGACACAGGAGGGGTCACACAGAGTACCTGTGCATTAACTGCCTGGTACCCACTGAAGGGGACTCCATCCCTCATGTCTCAGGGCAGCTCTGCACATGCTCCTTCCCCACCCCATACCCCCTCTACTCCTGCTGTGCTCTGGGTCAATTAGGATCTTCCCAGGACACAGAACTGCACCCTTAACTGCAGCCACTCTACAGGCTGAGCAGGGAGGATAAAGTGTGAGGTTTTGAGAAGAAAATGTACCAGGGAGAAGAGAGGCCCAGAGAAAGCCGGACTCCTAACCATTCTTCTGCTCCCTGAGAAGCAGCAGTCCCAGGGACCCCTTCCCCTAGATGAAGCCTTGTCCTGGGGGCCCCAGAATCAGCAGGTAAACAATCGCCAAGTGCCCCAAGTCCAAGGTGGCACCTGCATCTGTAAGGTCGGCTTGGGATCTAGGACAGGGCAGGAGCGTGTGAGGTGTGGGGGACAGTGAGGCAGGTGTCAGTGCCAACAAAACTGGGGTCTGAAGGCAGCTGCTGAGTGCACCCCATGCTCGGGGGAGGACAGGGGCCCACAGAAGAGTCCAGTGAGCAGCATGCGTGCTGACAGCAGCAAGAGCATGTCCTCCCATGTGGGACACTCAAGCAGGCTGCCCTAATCCCCCCAACCCCACTATCCTGCCCTCTTCCTCTGTAGTCAGACACCTCTGGTTGGGAGCTGACAGATCTCTGCCCCAAGTGCTTCTGCCCCTGGGCAAATACTGTCTATGTCTGGGGAACAGTAGGGGCACTGTGGACAGGGACACAGACCTGAGCCTGTAGAGGATGTGCCTGAGGACACCCTACTCCCTGCCCCAGGCCTGTGGGGTGCCCTCAGCTGTGCCTTACGTTCCATCTTGGTCTCTCGGTGCTGCCAGGCATAGAAGTTGAGCAGCTCCTTGCGGGCACGCTTCCTCTTCTCCCTCTCCAGAACACGCAGGCTGGCCGCTTCTGTTCGAGGGAGCACAGGCCTGCGGCCCCTGCGGGTCACCTTCACCCAGCCCTCCTCATCAGGAACACCTTCCTCCTCCTTGGCCTTGGTCTCCTCCTGCATGGAAGAGACTTTGATGGGCAGGCTCAGCAGCAGCAGGATGCCTGACTGGCTAGAGGCCCACTGCCCCCCTCCTGCGGTCAACCACCTTGGGCACACACACTCTGCTGGCCCGGATGCCACACTGTAAGTGTTGAAGAACACACATATCAATGACACTTCCTCCACATGCAGACCATTTAGAGTCACGTCACACAGCCTGGTGGCCCAGGTTTCAGCTGAGCTAAAATAGGAGCCTGCACTCCCTATGGTAACCAAGGAAAGGCTGCCACCACCATTCTCTCACAGGCACCACAACCACCACAGAATACTTGTGGTGCCAGCTCCTCGTGGCCACGCACACTGATAAGCGGGGGCCCTACTACAGCCCCTACCTTGAGATCAGAGGGTAGAGCTAGCCACTTATTAACCATAGTGGTATAAATGTCTGTACAGACAGGAGACAGGAAGTTGAAGCTGGGCAGAGACAGGAGCTTGGCTCTTTTCAGTCTGGGGAGTCTGAGAGTTAAGAGGTGACTGTGCCTGGCCCTTTACTTCTGATCTTTCAGCTCTGCCCTAGATTTCTGACCCCACGTTTTTATTATTGGGACCAATTAGGGTCTTGCATGCTTCATCAAGTTTCAGTTCCAAGCTCCAACACAGTGGCTCACAATCACCCATAACACCAGATCCAGAGATGCACCCTTTTCTGACTTCCTTGGATATGAGACACACAAGTGGTGCTCAAACACACAAACGTAAAATCTTTAAAAATTGAATGGAAGGTCCCTGGTCAGAAGCAGTGAATAAATTTTAAATGGAAAAAGAAAGAAGAGAAAGAAAGAGCCTTTATATGTCTCCTCTAAAACCTCTCTGGCTCTGTAGCCTGGTGAGGGAAAAACAGCAAGCAGCTAAGTACCTGAAAACAACAGGAAAACTAGTTCCAGCTAATGGCGCTGCTTTTTTATACTTAGCCTAGGAACAAAGCAAAAACAAACACACAAAAACCACCACCAACCAGTGTGGGTACAACCCTGGCTGTCATGGATCCGGAGCTAGTAGCCCAGGCTGGTTTCAGGGCCTGTGCCTGCCTCTGCCTCCCCAGTGAGGGGTTAAAGGTATGCACCAGCATGCCTGCCCTGGAATTTTAAATTTTTACAAATTGTAGGGAGCTCAAATATACTTTTCCCAGATGGGCATGGCTGTAATCTCAGCCGAAGCAGGAGGATACCTGGGTGTTCCAGACCATGTAAGGTTACAGTGAGACCCTGTGTCAAACCTTTTACTTTGAGCCAGAAGTCTCACTTAGCCTAAAGGGGCCTGAACACCGATACTCCTGCCTCCATTTCCCCGAGTGCTGGGATAAATGTGTGCACCACCAGGTGATTTATGTACTTTGCTTCATGCTGCTAGATAAGCACCTTAACCAGTGAGCTTATCTCAGCCCAGTTTCTAGTGTTCAACCTCCAGGTTCACTGCCCTGTTCCTCTTTTCCCTCCTTTGCCTGTCATCTTTTCTCATCTGTTTGTTTATTTTCTAGCAGGGTATTGTGTGTGTTTGGTATGTGTGTGTTGTTTGGAGTCTGTTCTGGAACTCACTGTAGACCAGGCTGGCCTGGAACTCACAAAGAGCTGCCTGCCTCTGCCTCCCACCAGCTTTGTTATCTTAATTCTAAAGGGCTTTACTGGTTAAAACTTCCAAATTCCATTCAAGTGTTACAAATGGATGTTCCTCTCTTGCCTGCCACTTCCCAAATGACCACTCAGAGGCTTAATATGAATGATAATGTTTGGCCGATGGTTGGGGAATATCGCTAACTAACTCCTATATTTAAATTAACCCATTTTCATTAATCTAAGTATTGCCATGTGGTTGTGGTGTTACCAGGGGGTTGGCATGTTGTTCCTTGGGTGACTGGATGGTATGTCCAGGCTCCCCCCTTCTGCTACTCTATCTCTGCTTGCATTTCCTGCCTGGCTTTTTCCTGTCTTGCCACAGGCCAAAGCAGCTTTATTCATCCACCAATGAGATCCACACATGCTCACAGCACACACAGAGGCATCCCACATTTCCCCCTTTTTATGTCTAACCAAAAAGGAGAAAGGTTTAACTTTAACATAGTAAAATTACAAAACAAAACAGTTACCAATGGAAATTACAGTTACTATATTTAGTCTATTTGTAATTCACAAAATTAGGGAAAATATTCCATCATTCCTTCTATCTTTGTGAGTCTACAGTTTCACATCTAATTTATCATTTGTCAAAACTGAGGAAAACTATAATTATACTTATATAGCCTTCAACTCCATCAGAGACTCCAGAAGTATATACTATTACTACAGTAAACAGGAAATGCATTACAAACACCTTCCAGAATACTGGAGAGGACAGAGACATCTGGCTGCCAGGACAGTCACCCAAAGTCCTTCTGCAACACTGGGGCATCCGTCTTTAGCCTATAGTCCTTGAGTATTAGCAGACTTTTCAGTGGAGCAGGAAATTTGAAGGACTGTCCCACCTATATTGGCAATGTTCATCGAACACTTTCCTCTGTGTCCTGCAGAATGTCTGGCAATTTGTTCTGTGAAGCAGGAACCTGAAGGACCACCATGCCCTGTTTTGGCAATGTTTAGTGGCCATTTTTCTGTGGGTCCCGCTTGTCTCTCAAGCAGTCCAGGCGAGAGCTGTTTCTTGCCCAAATGGCTAGCTTTGCCACACTGACAGTAAACTCTATAACGAGTTTCTCTGATGCTCATCATCCTCTGTTGTAGGGAGCCGTTAGATGTAGGGAGCCATTACAAGATGGCGCCTGCATCTGGCAGGCACCAAATGGTGAACAAGCTAGTGGGCAGGCGCTGTGTAACCTTCCATCCCTTGGGCTCCGCCTCTCCCGTGGCATCATATGTTCCAAGGAGCTGCAGCCAGTCAGGGGGTGACACGTCCAAGGCGGCGGTTGCCATCCTATATAAGGGATGGGTTTTTGAGAGTTTGGGGTCTTCGTTCTGTAAGCTTATGCTCTCCCTCTCAAGAGGCATTAAAGCTTTACTGCAGAAGGATCCTGAGTGTGCTGCATCGTTCTTGCTGGCAAGACAGTAGCGCGGGACAACTGGTGCCAAAACCTGGGAATCTGAGACCTCGCCATCGTCAGCACCATCGGAGACCCCTTGACTACAAGGAGGATTCAGAACTGCAGGCAGATACGCTCGGAGAGATATGTCTTTTCTGGACCTTGGTTTGGGAATATCTCCACCGTGGGAAGGTAGTGTTGAGGCTTTTGTGATTTTACTAGGGACCCTTTTGTGCATTCTTGCCATTATGTTTTGTTATCACTGTTACCGTAAACTAGGCAAAGATCTTGACTGCAAATGGGCAGACGGAGACTTGAGACTAGGGACAAAGGCGATTTGGAAGCTTGTTAAGAATTGCCTCGAAGATGAAGCCTGTAAGGGTGCCATAGCAGAAGGTAGGAGCACCCTTGAAGAGGTTCAGGATAGCATGTCAGAAACAGAGCGTAGTGAGAGGTTGGGCACGCGCAAGAAAAAATCCGTCCCTAAGAAGGAAAAAGGTCCCCCCCCCCGTAAGTCTGAAGACAAGGGGGTGTATTTGCCAGACCACAGGGATCCTCCCCCTGTTGTTACATCAAAGGGAGGAGCTAGCTTATACCCTGTACGTGAGCTTGAAGCCTTAAATTTAGATAGCTCCGATGACTCCAAGGAGTCAGGAGATGAGGTTTTAGATACTGAGGAAGAGGCCGAATTTGAAGAAGAGGCTGCTAGATATGAGGAAGAAAGATACCACCCGGATGGTTATGGACAAAACAGCAAAAGGTCTCAGGGACCGCGGCGTCAACCAGTCCTCTCGCAGGCTGTCCCTTCGGCGCCCCCTGCCTATGAGATGCGTCCGAACTCGTACTCTTTTCTCCCAGATAGGGTAAAAAGAAAGTTGCACCTCACTTACCCTGTCTTTGAAGGCGCTGAAGGAGGACGGGTTCATGCACCGGTGGAATATAATCAGATAAGAGCTGGCAGAATCAGTTAGAAAATATGGGGTTACAGCTAACTTTACTCTTGCACAACTAGATAGACTGGCCATGACAGCTATGACGCCAGCCTACTGGCAGACGGTCGCAAAGGCGGCACTTGTCAGCATGGGTCAATACTTGGAATAGAAAGCACTCTGGCATGAGGCCGCCCAAGAGCAGGCCAGATCTAATGTGATGGCCTTGACTCCTGAACAGCAACAATGGACATTTGACCTACTAACAGGCCAGGGTCATTTTGCAACTGATCAAACAAACTACCATTGGGGCACCTATCAACAAATCGCCAGTTCGGCCATTAGGGCCTGGAAGATGCTCTCCAAGAAAGGAGGGATTGATAAACAGCTCACTAAAATTATTCAAGGGACCCAAGAGCCATTTTCTGACTTTGTGGCCAGAATGACCGAGGCTGCCGGTCGTATTTTTGGTGATTCAGAACAAGCCATGCTTCTAATTGAACAGCTAATTTTTGAACAGGCCACCCAAGAATGTCGTGCAGCTATAGCCCCGAGGAAGAATAAGGGATTACAAGATTGGCTTAGGGTCTGTAGAGAACTTGGAGGACCCTCACTAATGCAGGGTTAGCTGCTGCCATCCTACAGTCTCAGAAGCGCCCCCTTAAGGGGCCTGACAAAAGAACTTGCTTTAGATGTGGAAAAGCAGGACACCTAAGAAAAGACTAAAATGTCAGAGAGGGAGAGAGATCCACCGACTCTTTGCACTCGTTGTGGCAAAGGCTATCATAAGGCCACCCAGTGCCGCTCGGTGAGAGATATAAAGGGCAGGATTCTCCCTCCCATGGAAACACCAACAAGCGAGATTCCAAAAACAGAGCAATGGGCCCTCGGTCCCGGGGCCCACTAAAATACGGGAACAGATCCGCCAGGGTGATGGACGAGCCCCCCCCCACCCAAGACAGAACAAGAATGGACCTGCGTGCTGCCTCTGACTTCTTATTAATGCCTCAGATGGGTATACAGCCCGTCCCTGTCCAAACCCCCGAACCATTGCCGAAAGGGAGTATAGGTCTCCTTCTCGGTAGAGGGTCGCTCACATTACGAGGTCTGATTGTTCACCCAGGCATCATTGACAGCCAGCACTCTCCTGAGATCCAGGTGTTATGCTCTAGTCCAAATGGGGTCTTTTCTATCAGTCAATGAGATAGAATAGCTCAATTACTACTCCTCCCAGGCAGCCCCTATCAAGGGTTGAGGAATAGGCGGATGGGCTCTTCAGGACAGGACTCAGCCTACCTAGTTGTTCAACTCCATGATTGGCCAAAATTGTCTCTATGGGTTAATGGCAAGAAATTTGAAGGTATTTTGGATACAGGGGCAGATAAGAGTATAATTTCCTCTCACTGGTGGCCAAAATCTTGGCCTGTTATAGAAT